GCCGCGTCCCACATACAGCAACTAGAAGGATGTGCAGCTATGACACACAACTATCTACTGGGGCTTTGGGGGAAAAATAAATAAATAAAATTATTAAAAAAAAAAAAATCAGAGCCCTTACGAAGCTTATGTTCTGGTGAGGGAGGCAAAGAACACAGACAGGTAAAATGTATGATATAGTAGTGAGTGTCAAAGAAGGAAAAGAGAGGGAGAGGAGAGAGCGTGTGTGGCTGTGAAGTGAGGGTGTTAATCTTGGACAAAGTGGCATTTCAGTAGACCTAAGGGAAGAGAGAAGGAGCCGTGCTCTCCGGGGAGGCCAGTGTAGCTGCAGAAGAGGGAGTAAGGGGCAAGGAGGAAGAGTTCCCATTAGAGAGGCTGAGGCAGATCATACACGGCCTTCTAGGTCATAGTGAAGACGTGGGGTTTTACTCAGTGAGACAGGACTGGGGAGAGGAGTTGCCCTGTGAGGAAGGTAGGGAGGATGTGGCAGTGTCTCGTGGCTAGGGAATGGCACAGGTGGGGCTCTAACTCATCTACTGCAGAGCCTCTGTCTTCACAACTTCTTAGGCTGACATCTGTTAAACAATGGAGTCTAGAACTGACAGCCATAAAGGCTGCTGCATGTTTGTGCCCCAGCTGCCCATGGTCATGGATGCCCAGCATCACTCACCCTTCTGTGGGCAGCTGTTGACTCTGTACTCGAGGAGAGGCCTGCTTCTCCAGGCTAGTGTCTGTTCACTCAGGCCCTTTCCCCGACCCACCCAGCACTCTGCCCCTGCTTCCCCGAACTACAGGTCCCCAAGTCTTCACACTGTGGCTCTAGGAGAGTGAAGCAAATGCTCAGCTGGGACCACCATGGTGTGCTGTGGAAGCAGGAACTGGTTTTGTTCCAAAGGAGAATCCCATCCTTTTTCTGGTTTGGGGTGGAATGGCATGAGGGTGTCAAACAGGGCCATTGTCTGAATCTGCTTTTTCTCTGCTGCCCCTGCCTGAACATTCAGATTCTGAGAGTCAAGAGGAGATAATCCAGGATATCGCCAGGCAACTTGCCCAAATAGGGGACAGGATGGACCGCAGCATCCACCCAAGACTGGTGAATAACCTGGCAATGCAGTTTATGAACGTGAACCTGTCAGAGGAAGTAAGTGAGAAAATCCACCAGTGCCTTTTCTGGGTTAGTTAGGAACGGTGAGGGCTTTTTCAGTTGTCAGTTGAACCAAAAAGGTGTGTCCTGTCTCCTATCAGTGAGGTGACTCAGTTCATGACTGTCTACAAAAGAATTAGAAATAGAATCATCACGTGGTTAATTATCTTTCAAAAGAATTAAGTTACTTGACGTTTGGAAACCTGAACCTAAAGTCAGAGTCAAGAGTTTGGAGATAAAACTTATTGTTTCTTCAGTTTTAGGGAGTTGAATAAACATGCCAATAGAGAACTTTGTCACTTACCCACATGTGACAAGAAAAGTGACATTTTAGCCTGCTACTCTTGACTTCATGGATATAATCAATCTACAGATACTTACAGAGCTTCTACCATTTGCTAGACACTGTGGGGGATACAAAGATGGGTCTAAGGCACTATATCCTTCCTGAAGAAACTTAGTGGGAGAGAGAAATATATGCCTACGGGAGTTCAGAGGAGAGAAAGGTTCCATTCTTCTGACTCCCAGCTGAAAATGCAGGTGCCTCTCACTATCAGAAATTTATTCATCCTCCAGGGTTCAGCCAGGTCAAGTCTCCTGCCGCCAAGAAGGCTTGTCCCCTCCCTAGTGCTCTCTCTGTCTGATGTTCTCCAGCAACTATCATAGCACATGTGAGCCTCTAGTAATCTTCTGCCTTGGGACCTCTCCCACAATGTTAACAACTTAATTTTGCATGTGATTCGATGAGGTCCTTTCAGGTCTAATGGTCTACGGTATGCCTCTCCCCTGCAGGTGGCAATGTCACATGTAGCCCCCTTCATTCTCCTCCCTTTAGCTAGGTCTGTGCCAGTAAGATAGGCCTAAGACATCTTGGATAGTTAACTAATTCTTGATTTTAAGTGCCTTACAGGCAGGGAATGACTAGTGCCTAATGTGAACACATGATACTCAGTAAATACGTATTTGGGGGCCAGCTGGGTGGCGTAGTGGTTAAGTTCATGTGCTCCGTTTCAGCGGCCCAGGGTTCCTGGGTTCAGATGCCTGGCGTGGACCTCTGCACTGCTTATCAAGCCATGCTGTGGCGGCGTCCTGTATACAAAATAGAGGAGGATGGGCACAGATGTTAGCTCAGGGCCAATCTTCCTCAGCAAAAAAAATATATATATATATATACATATACATATGTATATGTATTTGGTTAATGAGTATCCCACTCTAGGGAGTGATCTCAATCTTCCCTTTCCGTTGCCTCTCAAAAGTAAATTTTCTCATTCTCTCCTCTACCCTCCTTAGCTGTTCAATAAATACTTCCCTCTGAAACGAAAGCATGCTTCCTCACACTTGACGTCGGAGGACTGTTTCTCCTCCCAGAGGGAGAATGTTAGCAGGTTCTGTGTGGCCCTTCTGTTTCACCCCTCAGGACAGAAGACAGTGCCTCACTACTGCGCTGGAGCAGGCCATGCAGACTTACCCTAGAGACATGGAGAAGGAGAAGACCATGCTGATGTTGTCCATGCTGTTGGCAAAAAAGGTGGCCGATCACACACCATCTTTGCTCCGTGATGTCTTTCGCACAACAGTGAACTTTATTAACCAGAACCTACTCGCCTATGTGAGGAACTTAGTCAGAAATGTAAGAACCAGTGATGTCTGCTCCTTGGCATTCCACTCAATCCTCTTGGTCGCTGTCTGCTCCCCATACTCATTTCCCTCCGAGGTCTGGAAACCCAGCAGAACCCTCTCCTGCAGGGCTTTTCATCTTTCTCCCCCTGCTTCTGGTGACCAAACCACAAGGAAGGCTGTTACAGACCTTCTCGCTCAGGTAGAAAGGCTGGGTTTGCTTTCGTGAGCAAGCAAGTTACGTGGTAGAAGTTGGGAATGAACACCTAATGTCCTTTTGAGATTTATCAGCTCGCTTTTCAAGACCTGCCGCTATCAGAGGGGTGGTGAAGGCTTGCTTCACACTCTTGGTAGAATCCTCTAGTCTGGTAGAGACGTGTAGAGCATGAGAGAAGGTGGCGGGAGGGCCCAAGCTGAGCTTCCTCAGTGTGCTCTCAACTTCACCTTGTCACAAAATAAGTATAATTTAAATTAAAAACATGCTTACCAAGAGGGATGGTGGGGAGAGAGATCAAGAAGAGTAGTCAAGGGCCGGCCCGGTGGCTTAGCGGTTAAGTGCGTGCGCTCCGCTGCTGGCGGCCCGGGTTCGGATCCCGGGCGCACACCGATGCACCACTTCTCCGGCCATGCTGAGGCCGCGTCCCACATACAGCAACTAGCAGGATGTGCACCTATGACATACAACTATCTCCTGGGGCTTTGGGGGAAAAAATAAATAAATAAAAAATAAAAATATTAAAAACATAATGTTCTTTAAAAAAAAAAAAAAAAAAAAAGAAGAGTAGTCAAAAGGGGGGAAAACTACCTAAAATCTTCCCCAGAAAACATCTGTCCCATAACCAGGATATGAAAAGTCATAATTCTTCATGATGCTGCCCAGGAAAGGCCAGACACTCCTTAAAGTCTGGTGCTGCAGTTTCATAGACCCAACTGGAAGTTAAGTGGATGTATCTTATCTATAAATTTGAAAATATTAGTGAACGCTTGAGATTTTATGTGTCAGAAGCATTACTCGGGCATCTCACCCTCTTGATATTTACCAGTAAGCCTTAAAAGCATTCTCTATCCGCTGTAGTCTTCAGTTATACAGGCATTTTAAAACAGGAGAATGAGGATAAATCTCAAATTTGGTGTTAACCCAAGCTGAATTGTTGGAAGGAGATAAGCCTGAGACAGTTCCTGGACAGCTTTCACCAGCACCGTCTACAGGGGCAGTAATTGGGCAAGATGTCAACAGCAGTCTGTATTAACAACTTATCAAACACTGAAAGGCTGAAACAGAATCTTGATTCCTCAGACCCACTAAGATGCCTCTTGGCACCATAAGTGATTCAACAGATGTGTGAATATCCAGATCTCAGCACCTTGAAAGCCTATGTTTTTGCAGTTGCTCCCATGTAGCAAAAAGGAGGCTGCAGGGATATGAGGATGACAGGGCTCCAGGGAGTATGTTTTTGCACGAACGCCAGCTTCACTTCTATTGACTGTGGCACTAGAGTTCTTAAGTACTGAATCCTGGTTTGTGAATTAGACTAATTTGGGCTGTTTTTCCTTTCTTGCTCTAGGAGATGGATTGAATGGATGACTCTGCAAAAGCATTACTGGTTAAAACTTGGTATGTTGACAGCAGTATAGCTGCCTTCAACGGAAATGAAGACATTGCCACTTAAAGTTCTTAGACAGGAGATGCGCAAGATAATAGCTATTTATTTCTCACTATTTTAAAGATGATGTTTTAAGCTGGTGACCCATTTAGGAATCTCTACATTAATATACTTGAATGAAACTGTCAACTTGCACATATTTGAATGTTTCATACCATCTTCTAAATCTGTCTACACATTGTGCCTTTATCTTCAGCTGTATAAGGTCCCCACTTGAAAATTAAATTTGAAAGCAGACTGTAAGGCAGAAGAAAAAAACATGCTTAATGTTTTTCTGTTAAAAAAAAAACCTACTGTTTCTTGAAGTGTAACTTTGGGCATGATCTTCTTCACAATACAGGCAGTATTGTGTCTGAGGAGAGCAAGGATTGGAGAAGGAATGCACATACCCCTTACAAATGAAAAATTCCTCTCAAAATACTAAGGAAGTAACAGTCTTCCTGTTTGAAAACCAAATAGCACAAGAGGTTCTGGACTACAGTTCTGTACTCAAACAGTGGAGAAATCAGGCCTCAAAATGTGTTTGACTTTTTTCAACTTGATTTCCTTTTATTTGAGTCAAGAAGAACCATAGGTTTGGGGGCCTATGTCTACACAGTTTCAAAATCAGGTAACTAAATGCACCTTTTCTCTTTCCAAGAGGTCAAGGCTTTGATAAAAATTTTAAGCTGACGGAGTACCAGAAGCTACTGCATACCCGTGGGGAATAATCTCTGTATTTTCATTTTCTAGCCATACCCCGTAGCTCATCCATGCCTAAGACGCTGCACTGGAGAGAACAGGTTTTTAGGCATAAAAGATGAAAGAACAGTTGGACTTTTAAAAAGTGAACAGTTGAGGAGGTTCCCTTTCTTAGGGACACAGTCAGAATACAAGTAACAAAAGCAGGTCACTTAGGTAGTGCCAAAACATACCAGGGAGAGCTTGCATTTAGAAACAGTGCAACACTCGTCTGTTGTTCCCTGTGATATGCGTTTTCCTGGGATTCTGTTTAAAAGTATGATGGTGGATGCTGGGTCCATACCAAACACATTCCCTTTACTCTAACAGTAACGCTTGTGTTACTATCAACATGACGCTCTGGCAAAGCATACGAACAAGAGTAATGAAGTACTAATAAAATACTTTGTTACCAAAAACACTTTTCCGTTCCTTGAAAATTCAAATTCCTCAGAAAAGAAAAATAACTACATCGTTCAGCATTAAGTACATATCACACTAGGGCTGGGTCTCAATCTGATATCTGCAAGATGTCGCAAACTCTAAAAGCAAATACGTGCAGTACGAAGACCACCATTTGGAAGTAAACCTTCCAGTAACGCTATTATTATGAATGTTTTGGAGTGGACCTTTTTTTTTTTTTTAAAGAATTCATGTCACAGTGGAAACAGGTTGAGTCACACATAAACACACACACTCATCCGTACATACATCAGTCGGTAGAGTCAGCGTCTCACTGCGGGGAGAGATTGTCTTCCAGAAGAAGCACTTACAATAGTCAACTCTAAACTAATGGGAGCGAGAAGAGCTCTACAACAGCAAATACTCCCAGACTATATACTTCTAATCTCTCACAGCATCTTTACCTTCTACTGTTTTGTTTGTTTAAATTAATATTTTAATGTAGTTTATACACGTTTTAGTGTAAATTTTTCCAGACCAAGTCAGATACACTTTCTTGGTCATAAAGCAAGATTATCACCTCTTCTCCCAAGCCAGCATTATAAAAAGATTCCACTGTATTAAAAATGTTCCACTCTTGAGCATATCTATCTCAGCCACAACTCAGGCATAGCCTGGAAGTTGATAGATTTTACACTGGTAACATAATCCTTGTGTATATAATTGAGAAGTGACTAATTCAGAGAATGTTTCATTCTGTTTGTTTTTTTAATATTTGAATTAAGTGATGGATGTTCCTTGGCAAAAGATCAAACATTTCTTCTCAGAACATGCTTGGCATATCTGACAGTCAGTGGAGTATTTGCTGTATTCAGAAGGTCAAATCCTTCCTGCCCTCACCTCTTAGGATCCAGCATTAACTGCCGAGATCTCAGGGCTGCCGTACAGGGTCACAGCACCACAGCCTGTCTTTATTTTCAAAAGATTTCATTAGCTGTGCTGACTTGGGAACTTGACTATGGAGTGTCTTTTGGATATTATCACCATGTTTTCAGAACTGAAGTCAAATCGAGTATGTACTTAAGCAGACTACAAGATTATCTGAAATGGTCCCTTCTAAGTCAAGGGCATAAGGTTACCATATGAACAGAAAGATGAGGCCGTCAGTTAACTTGAAATCTCATTTTATTGCAACCTCCAATGTGTTCTCCCCCAACACATTGCTTCTCATAGAAAGCACAATTCATAGATTTGAATTTTGTTCCTTTCCCCTGATGAAGAGTAGATTGCCAAAAGGCAGATAACAGGAGGAAAAAGGAGCCAGAATAACTCACAATAATAAATTGAGCAAATCAGAGCTGTAGCAAGGAGAGTTTATGGAACCTCATACAGAAAAAGGAAATATACACTGCTTAAGTGAAATACTTGTGTTAGCTTAGTTACCAAAATTACCATTTAATTCCAGTAATTCTGAGGAGATGAGGGCATCAGAACCAATAATAAATTGAACTCAGTCAAGGAATGAGTTAGGTAGACAGAGGCACTTTTAATGTGAAGGGCGAAAGAAATGGAAGACTATGATAGCAGGAGAAATACAAGTCTAGGAGCAAAATTCTGCCTTTTCCTTTGATGCTGGCCAAAGACTAGTTTATACAATACAATTCTCTTGCTAGAAAGCATCAGGAACAACCAAATCATTCCAGACTGTGTAACAGGGAAGATTATACTTCAACTTCCTTTTATTCCCAGGGAAGGCGGCAACAAACTAGTAATCTTAAAATGTCAAAATTTTTGTTCTAAATAGTACATTAACCAATTTCCTCTAGTGGTGCAAAGAACACTCACTGAAATGAGCGATATCGCTATAAAATTTCCCCTTAGGAGAGGTGAGAACAGGGCAAGAATCACCTGGAGCCAGCTGCTATTTTAGGCCTTGCAAATATCCCTGAGAATAATTCCAACCTGAGCTGACATTGAAGCAGCTGCCTGGCTAGGGCTCTTGCAGTGTAAACATAAACATGTGGAGGACCCTGATGGTTTTAATTCACAGGAACATGGCAAGCCAGATAGAGGTTAAATAGTCTTGTGCAAAGACAGGGAAGACAAGATGTATTAGTATTTTAGTAACATGACAGTTTCCAACTTTCCATGGAGCTCTATATATGAGGTAACTAAAAATAGTGACTGAATTTCAAGCTATCAGTATTCTGTAACCAAGGCTACTAACTTGACATTCACCAGTGTACTGTGGAAAGAATGGAAGGTTTTTCACTGGGAAGTCACCTAGTGTCAGCTTCCGAGCCTGTGGCTGTGCTGGGTCAGCCCTCCTGATTGATTGGGTTGGTGACCTCTGAGTGTTGAGAGGCTAAGCAATGTCTAGAGGTATCCCCCACTTCACTCCACAACCCATGGCATAGGCAGGGGATGAACTAGGAGAAAGTGCCACGGTGCTACCTTCTAATTGGTGATGACTCCTATGTCAGACTGCCTTAGCCTTGCTTACACGCAGAAATATTTATCTAACATATTAACTAAGAAAGCTAATGAAAGATCTATACCAGTGGTAACTGTGAATTCTTTAACCATAAGGCCTCTCATTCAATATTTAAAGGGAAAACATCTGCTATAATTAGAAGTTGGCAACAATGCTGGACATAACCTTCACTCTTAGGTTTCTCTAGTGGAACCTGCTCAATGTTTAGACCAGCCTACAGGGTACCTTTGTACAAGTTAGGGAAGGCCCCTCTTCTTCCAGGGGGCACACTGGTGAGCACAGGCTGCCCTGGTGCAGTGTACAATTGGCACAACTGTTTGCAGAGCCTGCTCATACTTCTTTGCAGGGTCACAAAAATGGTAAAAGCAGGAAGAAGCACTAGACTTGGAGTCAGAAAAATTTAAATCATTGCTAGATTATACTAGAAGACTTTAGAAAAAGTTATTCAACTGGTTAGGTTTGCTCAATCTGTAAAATGGGAATAAAACAAATATGTAAGAGCTATTAGAACTGTGAGGGTGAAATAAGGTATGAGGGCATTAGAACAATCTCTGGCATATTACATTTGCTAAAATTATAATTACAAATTTTTTAGGAAAAGGATATTCTAATATGGAAAAAAATATGCACCCTAAACTCAAACCCATCTCATACTTGAACCTCCTCAGTGATCAACAGTATAACAGGAGTTATCACTAATGGCTGATCTTGGTCCTCCAGAGAAGAGGAAACACTTTTCTGGCATCAGCTGTGTTTCTGAGACTTTAAATGAGACAGTGCTTGTGAGGGAACTGGTTCAGAGGCTAGAAGCCTTTTCTGTAAGCGATCAGATAGGCTACAGGCCACTAGCCTACTAAGGCCCTCTTAGTGAACTATGATTACCACACCCCCTCGAATTCTTTGAAAGATAAGTTTGTGTAAAAAGACATAAGAAATTAAGAGGGAAAAAGGAAAAATTCTTACCTATAATACCTTTTATTTCTATAAAACATCTCTTAAAATAATTTTAAAATTCTATGGGTCTGACATTTGTTCACATGTCATCCCATCAGGGAAAAAGGCAAGGAGGAGGCATTACTTATATATTATTAGAGGAAATGAGCACAAAGGCTGAGGAAATTGATTTCCACAGGAAATTAACAGTAGTTGTGGTTCAAAAAACCACATCTCTGAGTTCACTGTTTATTCCTCCCGGGACAAACCTAGGTAGTGGCTGCATTTGATATTAGCAATGGGACAGAAACACAGGTGAGAGGAGCTATCAAGGATGTCTTTGGGTGAACGCAACCAGGTGGTCAGCACTTTTTTTTTTCTCTAGAAAGCTCTCTAGTGGCCAGTGATGATCATGAGAGTCCCCCTAAGGCACACTGTAGATACTGATTGATTTCTGGGCCCAGAACTGTCATTCTAATACAGAGAAGATAAATTGGCATTCTTTAATTCTGGTATTTTTCTCAAGAAAACTTCATTGGCTTTTTACCAACTGATCAGAAATCATTACATTCAACAGAGCAGTTAAGAAGAGTTCTAGAAGGCCGGCCTGGTGGCACAGCGGTTAAGTGCACGCACTCCACTTTGGCAGCCCGGGGTTCACAGGTTTGGATCCTGGGCGCACACTGACGCACCGCTTGTTAAGCCATGCTGTACTGACGTCCATATGACGTAGAGGAAGATGGGCACAGATGTTAGCCCAGGGCCAATCTTCCTCAGCAAAAAGAGGAGAATTGGCATTGGATGTTAGCTCAGGTCTGGTCTTGCTCACACACACAAAAAAGAAAAGAGTTTCTAACAAAAATATTTCCTCAATAGTTCAAAGAATGAGGAATGATAAATAGGGTGATATTTATTCTGCATTTGAGTTCCATAAACAAGTTGGATTTATTCTGAATCTTCCCTTTCCTGTAAGTGTAGATGTTATGTAAATCAGGGGGCAAGAAGGAATGGCCTACTACTACCAGCCCCCACCAAAAGGGGGGTGAGAAATAATTTTTTTTAATGTAATAGCAAAAAATAGGAGCTGCTGTAAGCAGCAATCCTTATTAGGGTATTTCCTTCCACTGCCAGAGGCAGAGGGTAAGGAAGTAAGGAAAGAATGGGGACACTGACACATCCTATTACTCAGGGACTAACAACAATTCAATCCATAGAAAGCCAATGGAAAAGGATCTCCATTTACCATTACCTAGCAAAATGCAACTGGCCAAAGGTTAATATTCAACAGATGGGAAAATAAAGCAGCACATAGCAGCATCATATCACGTCTTATTTCCTTTTGTGGAGAACACAGACCCAAATATCCTAAGCCACAGATCTCCTTTTAGCAGCTCAGAAACGAACCTGGTTTCTATTAGTGCTTAAATGTGTTCAGCCAATGGGTTTGGGAATCCAGAGTTTACAAGGGTGAATACTGGGAGGAGAATATTTTATTATAAAAGGGAAAAAAATCAAGATAACTCACCCTACGCAAACATAAGCATAGCAATTAGAATACAGAGTAATCAAATGCAACTGTCAGAGCCCAAGGAGGGAAAAATCTTTACTTCACTAATCCCATTTCTCCCCCTCACCTCTAGCTATATTAATCAAGGTAGATCAAAACCCTTAAAAAGCATCACTTCCTGGGGCCAGCCCAGTGGCACAAGTGGTTAAGTGCTCGCACTCCACTGCAGCGGCCTGGGGTTCGCCGGTTCGGATCCCGGGCGCACCCTGACGCACCACTTGTCAAGCCATGCTGTGGCGGCGTCCCATATAAAGTGGGGGAAGATGGGCACGGATGTTAGCCCAGGGCCAGTCTTCCTCAGCAAAAAGAGGAGGATTGCCAGATGTTAGCTCAGGGCCAATCTTCCTCACCAAAAAAAAAAAAAATCACTGCCTAAATGGAACACTAAAAATCAGAACATAAAGATACACCGCATGACCAATCTGAACAGACACACAAACACACTTCAGATCTTTTTTCTTAACCAACTTTTAAATAGTATTGCTTTAGGGAGAAGATTTAATTTTTAAAAATAAATTTCAAAAAGAAAGCACATTTAAAACATCAAGTTTGGGTGATCAGGGTAGGTAAAGTAATTTTATTACAAATTTCAGGATCTAAAAAGTAATTTGTTACATTTACTAAGATAAATCTGAGATGACTTGTATCAAGCATGTGTGTCCTGCACAGTAACACTGATCATCAGGCATGCAAGGACACAGTCCCACCCGCCCCCCCCCTCCTTTAGGGAAGGGATCGGCCAGATGAAAGAAAATTATGCTGAGTCTCAACTAACACATATTGATTAGGATCATTTTGGTTTATCACTCTGGTACTTGGACTGAAGAGTTCAGCAAAGAAGCCTCCATTCTCGAACTCTGAAAGCCAAACTAGGATCTCTAGGGTAGCCTCGAGAAATTCAAGCTTCTCTTTTCCTACTTTTCATTTCAATGATATTTAGGATACTTTCTGTATTTAATATGAATTAAGATTCAGTTGGTCTGTAAGCCAGAGTGTGAAAATCCTTACCACGTGGCAAGAGACTACAGAGGAGGGGGCTGACCAATAAGAAGACTGAGGCCAGATACTGGGAAAACACACTAGCCCAAGTTATAGACAGTGGCCATCCGGGAACAAGGATGCTGCTGGGAAGTAAGCAGAAGCTCAGTAGGATGGCCATACACTAAAGGGCCAGAAAAGACCTCAACAGTCATCTAAGCCACTCTCCTGCTTCTGAATAAGACAAATCTCTCTCTAGCCAGAATTACTTGCCCTCGCACTCATAGGCAGGGAACCTTAGATCTCTTTTATTTTATATTTATTTTTTTTAAGATTACTAAAGGCAACATCTTCACAAGGTGTAGCTGTAGGAAGCATCACGGACTTGACGAGTACAGAGCAAGGACTCACCCAAGGGATCTGAGAAGGAACCTGGGGGTGAGGAGGAGCCGCAGTACCTGAGACACAGCCGAGACATAAGGGGAGAGCACTCTCACGCTACAGGACTAAGAAGTGGGGAAGAAAAGAAGAGCCAAAAAGGAATGGCTGCAAAACACAGCATGTTCATCAGGAAAGATGAAATTCCAAGGGCAGGAACAAGTCCCTAGCTGAGGAGCACACAGCTAAGCTCTCTTGCTTGGTGATTTCTATCCCAGATTCTCCTAAATTAACCCTCCCTCTCTAAAGCTGTGGCTCTCTCATGGGGAACGACTGGGGATATTTGGCAATGTCAGGAGACATTTTTGGTTGTCACAACTAGGGGAAGGGTGCTACTGGTATTTAGTGGGTAGAGGCCTGGGATGTTACTAAACATTCTACAATGCACAGGACAGCCTCCTACAACAAAGAATTATCAAGATGTCATTAATGCCAAGGTTGAGAAACCCCGTTCTGGAGGGAGTACTTTACTCATAAGTTTCTGAAGCTAGCATGAGCCAAGACCCTTGGAACTTACAATCAGACAAAGGTGAACACCCTCTACCTTAAGCCCTAATATGTGGATCAATCCACTGCCTTGTTGAGCAGAAGTCCTAAATTATCCCAGAGTGTTCCACAAATGTCTAGTCAGCTGCTGGCGGTTCAAATTCAGTCAACACAACTAAAACCTTATATCCTTTTTGTCTTCTTTCTCTTCTAAAAAATCTGCTATTTCTTTCTCAGGGCCAGTGCTATCCCAACTGCCACTGCCAGGATGGCAACAGCGGCAGCCCCTCCAAACAGCAGTATAGACTTGCTCTCAGACAATGGGATGGCCTTCTCTTCTCCAGCAGGGGAGAGCACTTCTGTAAGACTCTCCTTCCTGACATTTCTCTCCTCTTCACTCAGCAGTGTTTTCATGGGTTCCAGTGCAGGGACCACCTGCTCCCCCAGTTCACTAGGTTCAACTGTCGCTGCCTTCCCCTCTTCTTCATCAAGTTCTACGCACAGAGAGGTAGCAGGGCTGACTTTCTCAACCGCAGTCATCTCTGTGTCAGGCTCCCTCATCTCCAGCAAGGAAGGGGCAGTGATATGTGGAAGCAAGGGAGCTGGGGCTTCATGGAATACCTCTTGCAGCTCCCTGGTTGGCAAGACCACAGATGCCACAGCAGCCTCTTCCATACCCTCAGGTATTTCTTCTTTCTCCACATGCACAATGTCAGAATTAGAAGAGTTGTTCTCACTCTTCTCTCCAGCTCCATTGCTATCTAAGCTTTTGACTTCTTCAGGATCCACTGCGATCTGCTGCCAGGACTCAGGACCTAGGGACACTGGTAGGCTTTCTGTGTGCCAACTCTGGCTGGCTGACAGTGAAACAGGTAAACTCTCTGACTGCCAAGAAGTTGTCACAGTTGGAGACTCTGGAGGACTGACTTGTCCAGAGTTGTCACTGGGCAGGATATAAATGTCATTGCTGTCTTCTGCAACAATTCCAGGGTATTCCTCCTCCTCTGACTCAAGATTAAAGACAGTGCCCTAGAAAAGAAGGAGAGTCAATATAAAGAATGGCAAATATATTTAAAATAAATATAAATCTGGGGAAAAAATTCTTTCCTCAACTGAAGTTCCAGGAATAAATACATTGTTTAAACCTACGCAGTTTCTGGATTGGATGCATTTACTTGCAGACCAATGCAGAGGAAGAATTTTTAACAAATGGTCCTCTGACCAGTTTCCTTGAACTTAAAAAATCAAAAAGTTAATTTATATTCAATTTATATATATTCAATGCAATAATCAATGCAAAACAGCAGAGAAAGCAAAGGCAAGAACCTTGTTCTCAAGGAATTTATCACTTAGTAGGGCAATGCTATACCATAGTCAAAGTACTATTAAGAGTTCAGAGGGGGAAATGACTTCTTTTGGTGGAGGCTGGAAAGGGCAGTGAGATGAGTGAAAGCTCATCAAGGAACCAGCATTTATACTGGACATCCGAAGAATGGGTAAGATTCCATGGTGACAATCATGTAGAAGACACAATACCATCAAAAGCATAGAAATATAACGAAGGGGACTAGCAAGTAGCCCAGTTTAAGGAGTGCACAGTAAACATGAAGAAGAAGAGAGAGCTCAGTTAGGACAGGACCACGGAGGAACCTGGCAGAGTGCCAAGAAATATGGACTTTATTCAATAGGAAATGGTTAGTCAATGAAGTCTTTGAGCTACAAAATGACAATCAGAGCTCCACTTTAAAAACTCTGATAGCAGTGGCAGAACGGAGAGACACCAGAAACGTAGGACTCTTGCTTCTCTCTTTAGCAAGAGTCTACACAAAAGCAGTAACAACAAATAGTGTTGGTCTTCATGTTCACATTTAACAGTTTAGCTTAACAGGACCCTCTGTGTTTATTGCCTATGAGGTGCTGTTAGGCACCAGAGTTATAAGGAACAATGAGACCCAATTTTTGTTTTTAAAAAATTCACTGTCTAGATGTGAAGACTGACATATGAATAACTAATTTCAGTATGATATAGTAAACTTTTTTTTTTTTTTGTGAGGAAGATCAGCCCTAAGCTAACATCCGTGCCAATCCTCCTCCTTTTATGCTGAGGAAGACTGGCCCTGGGCTAACATCCGTGCCCATCTTCCTCCACTTTATATGGGACGCCGCCACAGCACGGCCTGACAAGCAGTGCACCAGTGCACGCCCGGGATCCGAACCTGGGCCGCCAGCAGCGGAGCGCGTGCACTTAACCGCTACACCACAGGGCCGGCCCCATGATATAGTAAGCTTTAAGACAGGTGTACGCACAGGGCAGTAGGGGAACCCACAGGTTAAGACATGATTAGAAAGGCAGGAAGAGAACTAATGGAGTGTAATGTCATAGACGTCTATAGCAAGTTTTAGAAAAAGTCTGGATGACACTCATAAATGCTACAGAGAGCTTAAATAAGATAGGTAAAGCAAATTAATTGCTACTTTATTTTGTGATTATGGCTATTTATATGAAGCCATATAAAATATAATTTTATTCTTCAATCAAGACCAAAAACTTTCTGTGTGTACTAAGGCTCTAAAATAAATCACTAGTCATTCTATCAGCCCCACAAAAAGGAAACCAGAACTACAGCTAAACACATCACATGGTCATAATGTCAATATTCTAAATGCCCCACATTTTAGCACCTCAACTCTTGCTTCAATCTCCTTCAGAAGAGATCTTGGTCCACAAATACAAGCAGAGAGACAAAACATTACAGTAATTAAAAATACAATATTTGTAGTAAAAAAGAACTGGTTTGAATTCCAGCTCCACCACATACCAGCTGTGTAAATTTGAATGCCTTGTTTAGCCCTTTAAACTTCAATTTCTTCATAAATAAAATGGGAATGACTAATTTGATAAGACTGTTACAAAAATCAGATACAGTATTTATAGTGCTTAACATAGTACCTTCTACGTAGTAAGCAATCAATAAAGAATGCTATTTTTTTATTATTGTTTTTATTGTCATTGTCTTTATTGCTACTGTTGTTTAGGTGGTATGGTAGTGGGACAAAGAGCTACTCTCAAGTACCACCTAGACAGAAAAATTAAAAAAGTAAAAGAGATTTGAAACGATATCCTTCCTTGTGTAGAGAAGATAAACTTTTCCTTCCTCCTTCATCTCTTTTAAATAGAGACATCACAAAACTGGAAAGTAAAATCTCTCCTTCGAAATTACAATACTATACATCAAACCAATATAGGAGTTATTTCTATGGGACGGAATTCCAAGAAAAGTGCGTGTTATATAAATTTTTTACAATGATCATGGCTTAGTAAAAAGAATCTATTTCCATTTTTTTTTAAAGAATGTAAACATAAATGGGGCTCTCCTACCTCCTAGGAACTTGAGATTAGTGGATATTCAACAATCTCAAAATAAGGTATGAAATACTTTGAGTCAGGTGAAGAGAATCTCCTGAATTTCTTTTGCACATGTCTAAAGTAAAGGGCAGGGCATATGAATATACTATTAGGAACTAGTGTTCCTTTTATTATCTTTCATTATTTTTTTTAGTATTAAGATTTACATTCATAAAATTCACGTAACCTAACATTCACCATTTTTAGGTGTACAATTTAGTAATTTTTAGTATATTCACCTTGTTGTGCAAACATTATCACTATTTAATTCCTGAACATTTCCATCATCTCAAAAAGAAACTCTTTAGCAGTCACTCCCGATTCTCCCCTCCTCTATCCTCTGGCAACCTCTAATCTAGTTTCTGTCTGCAGATTTGCCTATTCTTGGCTGTCTATATAAATGGAATCATACAATATGTAGCCTTCTGTGTCTGGCTTCTTTCACTTAGCATGACGTTTTCAAGGTCTGTCCATGTTGTAGCATGTATCAGTACTTCCTTTCTTTTTATAGCTTCATAATATTTCACTGTATGGATATACCATATTTTGTTTATTAATTGATCAGTTGGTTGACATCTGGGTTGTTTCCACCTTTTGGTGATTAGAAATAGTGATGCTATGTACAAGTTTTTGTTTGACCACCTATTTTCAATTCTGTGAGTATATACCTAGGAGGAAAATTGCTGGGTCATATGATAATTCTATGTTTAATTTATTGAGGAACTGCCAAACTATTTTCCAAAGAAACTGCACCAATTTATATTCCTCCCAGCAATCTCTAAGGGTTCCAATTTCTCCACATCCTGGCCAACACTTGTTATTGTCTGTTTTTTTTATTATAGCCATCCTAGGGGATGTGAAGCGGTATCTCATTATGGTTTTGATTTGCATTTCCTAATGACTAATGATGCTGAACATCTTTTCATGTGCTTACTGGCCATCTGTATATCTTCTCTGGAACGCTGTCTATTTAAATATTTTGCCCATTTTTAAATTGGGTTGTCTTTTTATTGTTGAATTGTTAAGAGTTTTATCTTTTATTCTTACATGAGACTGCTACATAGTTGGATATTAAAATAACCAACTGGGGGCGTGGGTGATTGTAATAAGGTTGACACTAAAGGAAACAGAGGGGTAAAGTACTAAAGTAACTAGTAGTCTCTGCTAGTTAATAATTTTATTTTTTTATTTTTAAAAAGATCTCTGCCATTAGTGCCATTCCTCAGATGGATTCGTTTCCTAGACTTCAAAGCCCACATGACTAAAAGAGGCTTTCATAGCTATAATCTTATGGGATTCATCTCTTTTAAACTTTCATTATATTTTCATCAGTATAATGGTAATGTAAAGCCACTCAACAGTTCTGAGACTATCATCGATAATGAATGATAACAAAGAGTCCCTTCACAACCAAATGCAGCACATAGAGACTGTATACACCCATCAATTGCAGGGGTCATTAGTTACAGCCAGCCGGAAGATAGTGCTTGTCCTCCTGAAGAATACAAACTACAAATACCACTTCTACATCATTTCTCTGTCTTACCCCATACTTAACAATTTTTTATTTTAGCTAGCATCTATCTCATCACCATGTTGTTCTCCCTATATTTAATCATTAAGTACTAAATATATCTCAAAATATTTATTCTTAGATGTATCAATACATCTAAATATATTTTTCCCCCTTCTCTCAACATTTTCTGCTATTGCTCTAATATAAGCAATCACTATCTTTCACCGGAACTAATGCAAACGACTCTTGACTGTCTCCTTGACCCTGCAATCCAGTTTGGAGATGAAAAGCATCATTTCACCAGTCAGCTAAGCCAAAAACCTGGGAGTCATACTGATTTCTCCTATTCCTGAAGTAGTTACTTCTTATTGCTGGGAACTGTGCTATTTAGATGCTTGTGATAAAACAATATCATCTCTGCTCTCAAAGAGTTTAAAATACAGTTTAAAATCTAGTGAAGGAGAAAAACATAGGCTACTCTAGGAGCACGAAGGAGGGGAACTTATTTGGAGATTTACAGAAGGCTTCTTAGAAGAGAGAATAACAGAGCTGGATCTAAAAGAATGAGTAAGAACCAACAGACCAAACAGATGAGAAAGACGCTCCAGGCAGCAGCAAAAAATAATAAAAAACTTGGTGCTGAGAGATATCACAGTATGTGCAGGCAACTACTAGCTCTTCAGTGTTCCAAAGCTCAAGATGAGGAGTGAAGAAAGAGGAAGGTGGAGAAGCAGGGAAGGTCAGCCATGAGACCAGTGCACGGAAAGCAAAATACCAATGTCTATCTGGATATAAAACAAAGACATGCCTCTGTCTCACAGAAGGTGAGTGTTTTCCCTGCAATCTTGCTGAGTTTGATAAAGATCTTGGTTCTACTGAAAACCAAATCCAACTCCCTCCCACCTCCCAATATGGCAACTCTTAGACATCATCAATAACTCAGAGCATAAAGATGAATCTAAGGTACCATCGGCCATTAGATACAGGCTCGGTTTGAATTTTATAAAATAGAGTAGTGCTACATTTGAAATCTATTTCTAATTACTGACTCTTTCAGGTATAAAGGGGGCAAAGTCATGCAATATTGAGAATAATATATTATCTCTT